ATATATATATATATATATATATATATATATATACTTTTTCAGAAAATGTAAACATATTTGTTGTAGTATAGATGGATTCGATTTTTAATAAAAGTTTAAACTTATATCAGGCAGTGCCACCTATTTACGTAAAATGGAATTACTATTTCAATATACAAGATAATCTTCTTCTAGGTTTAACTTCTAGTTATCGTGTAAGTTTGCATAGTTGTCTACAGAAGATAACGAAATTCGAGATAAGGTTGGAAACACTGTTTCATGTGTTAGATTTGCTCACAACGTGGAGAGACTTGCCATTATATGCCCAACTATAGTTTATGTTTACTTTACCGGGAAGACTGTCTTGAGATGTTAGCTTCCCCGAGTTCCTCCCACTGGGAGATGTTGATCGGAAACTCTTAGTGTCGGTGTGAGGGCAGAGCTTAGTGTCGTCTTCTGGTGATATTTGCTGTAATCGATCCCACGCATCTTCTGGGTGAAGCACTGAAGCCAAGATTAAATCATTAATATGGATCAAGACTATCTTAATCTTCTATATGACTGTTTTATAAAGAACTAATGACGTACATCTTTCTGACTTGTCGCTAAAGTAACGTTATTAATGCAGTAAAATACAAGATCTATCAGTACATATTATATTAAATGTATAAGCAACTATGAGACTGTTGTAAATAATGGAACGAAACGGATTTTTTATTTTAAAAGAAACTTACTTAGAATAAAAGTTATGGAAGGCCGATCAATGAGAAAGTAGTTTTTTAAAGAAACATTGTACTTACAAGTAAAATCCATAGAGGAGCTTTTGACTACGCTTTCGTTTTGGTTATCAGATTGTTTGTCACATTTCTCTTCTGTAAATAATTATAAACATATTCTGTTAACATCTTTTACTTCACTGCGCCATTTTGAATGCTTTGGTGTGTCTCAGAAAGAATATTTTTACAGTAAAATTATACATACAATCTTCATGTTAATATATATATATATATATATTTACTGATCATCTTACTGAATAAGTTTCAGGTAAGTAAAGACTGCAAAAATGTGCTAGATACTAAATGAAGTATGTGCAAACAAGTTTAAAGATTTTAAGTCTTGTAAGAGCTATAGGGATTTACAAAGTTTGTCTTAAGCGAATATATATATATATATATATATATATTA